TTCTGAGTTGCCACATTTCATCTTTGGGCTGTGTCTGAGAAAGAGAGCAAAACTGTTTTCCCTTTAATAACCCTGAAGCTGTTTGTCTCCATAAATTTCCATGGATTGATAATAACTTTTCTCTTGGATCCATCTAACCATTTGGCTGCATAAAAGTCACCCACATATTGGAAGACCATTATCCTGAAGCACTTTGACTTCTCCATTCTCTGCTGAAAAACTGCAGTTAGTTCATTTATTTCTTATGCACTCTGATTTCTAGGCACCTCACTCTCTTGATTTGTTTTGTCAGATCATGTTCATTTGTCTCTTTAAAGTAGGGTTTCTACGAATGAATGCATTTTTTCCAGGAGCAATCTGAGCTGGCACAGAGCAGCATATTAGTGTGGATGTGAGTGTGGATGTGTGTGTGTGTGAATGCACATGCTTTTAATTGCATATCGAACATGTACTAAAATGTTTGTAATATATATAAAAGACACAAAGAGTAACAATAAAGTGAGTGTGCATATAACTGCCACCAGCTTGCCCTGCTTTAGAAACCCTCTGCATACCACATTCTGATCCCTTCCTTTTCTTCCCTGCCGAAGTAACCACTATCCTGAATCTCGTGCTTATTTTTCCCATCCTTCTCTTTAGAGTCATACTACATACCAAACAGCTCTAAAAATATACTGTTTAATTTTACATGTTTTAGAATCCTTTAAAAAAGAATCATACTGAATATAAATGGAATCGTATTGTATACATTCTTCTGAAATTTAATTTTTCATTCAATAATGCTACTTGAAATTTATTTATGCTGATGCAATTAGCTACAGTCATTCACGTTTCACTGCTCTATATTTGTCTCAATTTTTCCAGGTTTATTTTTTTAACTTTCCTCTGTTGGACTAGTTTGAAATTATACACTGTACTCTTTTTTTCTGATCTCTTGGTTACCCTAGACATTTTAATGTTTTCTTAATTTTTATTTAATCAAAATCTTTATGCTTCTCTTGAATAATAAAAATATAACATGTTAAGAATTTAGGCTTCAGCTATTGTTGTCCGGTATTCAATTGTATCTTATAATCAGTGCTTATTTAAATGCACTCACTCGCATATTTCCCGGTTTCTTGGTTTACCTCTCCTTGCATCTCTGACTTTACATTTGGGATTATTTTCCTTCTGCCTGGAGTGCATTCTGTAGGAAGTCCTCTAGTGAAGATCTGTTGTTAAACATTTCCCATTTTTGTTTGGATGAAAATGACCTTCATTTATCCTTTATAGTGAAAGTTAGATTCACTGGGTGTTAGTTCCAGGTTGACACTTGTGCCTTCTTGGCACATTGACAAGAGTATCCCACCATCTGGTGCCCACTGTTGCTGTTGACAAGTCAACTGTCAGTCCAATTATTCTTCCTTTGAAGCTATCTTTTCCTCTGGCTGCTTTTAATATTTTCATGTTATCTTTGGTGTTCTGCAATTTCATTATAATGTCTCTAGGCGTTGGTTTCTTTTTAAGTATCCCACTCAGGATTTGTTCGACTTCCTAAATTTGAGGACTGAGTTAATCAGTTCTCAAGCCTTTACAGCTGTCATTTCTTCATTGCCTCTTACCCGTTTCATTTCTCTAGGGTATATACCAAGGAGTGGAGTTCCCAGGTTATGTGATAACACTGTTTTTAAACTTTAAGGGAGCTCCAGATTCTTTTCCTAAAGAGTGGCATCCTTTATATTCATACCAGCAGTGTATGATGATTCCAATTTCTCCATGTCCTCACCAACACTTGTCAATATATATCTTTTTATTTGTAACCATTATAGTGGGTGTGAAGAGGTGTCTCACTGTGGTTTTGATTTGCATTTACCTAACCTAGTGATGTTGAGCATCTTTACATGTGCTTATTGGCCATTTGTATATCGCCTTTGGAGAAATGTTTATTCAGATCTTTTGCTCATTTTTTTAAATTGAGTTATTTGTCTTTTTATAATTGAGTCACATTTTTTGTACATTTGTTTGTTTTGCTCTTTGTTTTTATTTGTTTTGCACTTTGTTTTATTAACCCTCTGCTATTGGTTAAAAGTGAATAATTACTAAAATGACCACAATGGAAAAAAAAAGGAAGGGATGAGGGGAGAGGAGAGAGAGAATGCAATAGTGTGGAATACTTGCAAACATGTTGCCCAAGTTTCACCCATTATGAACAGGTTAGTATTCAGTTTACTAGTGCAGCAGAGGAAAAACTTTTCTTTGACCCTCTGAGGGCCCCTGCCTGGATCTGAAAATTAAACTAACAGATTAACAGGAGAAAAACATACAAATTTATTTAATGTAAGTTTTACATGACACAAGAGCATTCATAAGAAAATGAAGACCTTAAGAAACAATTACCCTGAGTATTTTTATGCTAAATTTGATGAAGAGTAGACAGTCGTGGAGAAATATGATAGGTCAAAGAGTAGGGTAAGTATAATAAACTGGGGGAAATTTGGAAAGGCCTGTTTGTTCGGAATGTTTGGGCATCCCTTTGCCTTCAGAGATAAGGATGCTCCTTTCTTTGGAGTGTAGAGAGGCACCTCTCACATGAGGGTTTTATGACCTGCTTTGGGGGAGAAGGGCCTGGTGGGTGGCAGTGCTGGGAATAGGGGTGGGGCTGGGGTTTGGTGAGTGGGGAAATGTCAGAGTGACCTTCCCATTCCTGCTGTTTTCTCAAACTTCTTCAGTTTAAAATATTCATTATGCCAAGGTGTATTATTTTGGGGTAGTGTGTCCTGAACCCCCTCATTAGCTAGAAAGATGTTATGTGCAAACTACATATTGGTTTTAATATGGTAGTTAATTCATATCTTCTTTGCCATATTTATTATCAAGATTTCCCAAATTGTTCCACTGAATGTTAGTAGATGTTATACCAAAAGAGGTTCTGTGGCTTAAAGTCTGGAGAACCTTAGACTCAATAATTGGAACTCAGTGTCTTAACTAAAGGGCTTCCTTGAGCCTTTAATATGTAGATGAACATTGTAAGTGTTCCAGAGGGAGACCAGGCATCAATATGAAACCCTTTTTCTTTCCCCAATAATCTTCTGAGAGTTGTGTTCTACAGAACACAGTCGAAGAGCATTGCTTCAAAGACATTAATTTCCCTAAAAGAAAGTGTATTACCATAGAGAGCTCTGATTGTGACAACAGGACAGAGATGAAGGGATGGAGAAGCAGCAATTGATAAGTTGCCTGTTATAAAGTGAGAATTAATATTGGAAGGAGCCTGATATTTTATCAAATGAAAATTAACATTAATTAAACAGAAAGCAGAAAAAACCTGGGAAGATTTGAGACAGATTCCTCTTAACTGATTCCTCTTAACTGGCATGTTTATTTTTCACTAGAGTTCATAATGGACCCCCTGCTAGGTGAATTGGATTTTGCAGGCTTACTTTGTTATGAATTTCAAAGAGCTCTAAATTTAACACACGCTGCTCTTCAAGGTGCAAGCTTTGAACAGCCCTCCATTTATTGCCAAGTTCTAGCTGGGTAAGTTTCTCTATCTATATGAAGTTAGAATAATAACTTCTTCAATGGAGCCAATTTAATTCTGCGGAATCTTCTCATTTACGTAATATTTTGATGAATTTGATGTTTTCTCGTAAATTCATAGAGAATGGAGCTATTTCTGGAAATAGAAATTGAGAGTTTGTTCCTGGCTCTCTTCACTGCCCTCTCCAGAACCACAAACAAATAGCCTTTGCCAGTTCCCGTTGCTTCAGGTTGAAGATATAAAAGATTTTTAAATTATTCCATGTTCACAATAAATGCAAAAATGATCATTTAAAAAAATTTTCCCCTAAGGATACTAGCAATGTGTTTACTGGGAAATTTAGCTCTTGTTTTTTATTTTATTTTTGACGAAGTAGTTGAACTTTTGTTTCAAGGCAAATTAAGCATAGATAACTTGATTGTAAAGATATTATTGTTTGCAAACCTTAGTGGAACTTATTTGGGGCCAAGTTAAACAACTACATATAACTCAAAAGAATAGTCCTTTTCTTTCATTGTTATTTTATTTTACTTATTTTGTTATTCATTTTATTTTTTTGCCCATAGTATTGTGATGGGGCTCTGGTGATTACTTAGTTTTTTTGTTAATTGGAAGGCAGAGGATGCACAAGCCAACCCCTGATATAATAGATAAAGCCATCTCAACCAGCTAAACTGATGTGATAAAATGTAGTCTGACCCCAGATATAGCATCATTTTAGAGAATGACTCTCTTTGGAATGCAAAGGTTTTCTTCATCATTGAGATCTTATAGCGATCACTCAAGTATCTTGGAGAATTGAAGAATAAAGGATCAAAGTGCTAGATTATAAAGACATGAGGTAAGAGAGGGACAAGGAGGGGGCCCATCTTCCTATCTGGTGTTAAATGCTGTAAAACAATAAACCCCCAAATCTCAGTAGCTTAACACTACATATGAGTTTGTTTTGTTTTTGACAAAATCCTCCTTATGGTGGCCTGTTCCCCATTAAGCTGTGATTTACAGACCCAGGATCTTTCAATGTTGTGGGCCCATTATCTTCAGATAGGAACTTCCAATTGACCCTGCTAGGCTGCATCAAGCCAGAAGGGGAAAGAGCATGGAGGATCACCAATGGAAGGTGTAGGGGAGGAAAAACTATTCATCTACCCTCTAGGTCCTTCCAGCTGGTCTAAGAATTCAATTGACATGAGACAAAATAACAGCAGAAAATCAAAGTTTAATAACATATATATATGTGAGAAACCCAGGGAAACTGAGTAATTCACCAAAATGGCAGAAGCCACTACCTTAAATATCATCTTCAGCTAAAGACAAAGGAGGGTGTTGAGGTAGTGGTTTGGGGCTTCAAAGGGGAGAAAGGAAATTTACATGGAGATGGAAAAGCTAATGTTTGGTAAACAAATGTTTGCTGGACCATCTGTAGACAATGTGACCTGAGAGAAATAAAAATGGGCTTAGCAAGGATCCTCCTGTCTACCACACCTAGTTTATATTATACTATAGTTATCTTATGGTATTAGCTCCTTCCTGGAACAGGCCTTCTATCTTAAATTCTTTTAGGCAGTTAGGGGGAAGGTCAAAGTTTCTTTCTGAGTTTTTTGTCCTTAAAAATAACCAAGCCGAAGAGACACATTTTGGGGTGGCCAATTCTGATCTCCCACAAAGGTCTTAGTGAACCACGCTTTAGCTCTTTCTCCCCTGGGCAGGAGTCAGTCACACGGCCACATCTTACCTCTGGAACGTGTAGTCCAGCCATATGCCTGAAAAAGGAAATGGATTGTTTTGAACTTGTAGGTACCTCTGCCATATACAGCTGGGTATTTGTTTTTTTATGTTTATGGTGTTAAAATTAATCTGAGTAATGAAATGGAGTTAGTTATCTCCAAAGGAAACAAAATTACACATGCACATTAATGATACATTTAAATCCCAGCTTAATAATTAATATATCAGCATTTTAAGTAATTTCCTTAATAAGTTCTTTTCAAATTATTTCAAAGATGTTGTTGGCCTTCCTGGAAGGCAAACTTATTGAGCAAAGGATCTGTTCTCAAGTTACAAAACAAATAACCAGCTCATACTTGTGTCTCCCGAATCTCCTTGCAACATCAGACCGAGTAGCTAAGCATCACACATAGCTAGAAAATGGATTTTGACAGCCCAGCCTTGTGAGTTATCATTTCTACAGGTACCATTAGCATGAAGCTTGAGTTGCCTGCCATATACATTAATGGGAAGTAAATATCCATCCAAGCTCCCCGGCCTCCTTTTTGAAATAGAAAATGACATCATGTGATTGGTTTTTTCTGAACTGCTCAGTGGGCAAAAATGTGATTCAGAGGAGTTAAGGCATGATGTCATTATTCCCGAAGCAGATTCTCAGGGAGGCTGGGCACTCAGCCGCCTGATTCTTGGAGCCAGCGGCAGTATACAAACCTGGTGAAGAACTTGAATCTCATTTGTACAATGTAGTGACTGTCTTCTCAAATGGAAACATGGTGGGTTATTTTTAAAAACAGGAAATGATCGTGTGCTCAAGAACACCACTGATGGCTCTAAGAGAACTTGTTGAATTAAGGAATTGTCTGCTGTGGTCTTATTGGTCTCTCATCTGAGCACATATTGTAGATGAGACGGGGATATCATTACGGCCTTCAGCTCATTCCCAATCCCAAGTGGCAACGAGAGGCAGGGCTTGGAGATGATTTTGTTTATTTGTTTATTTAGCAAATGCTGACCACCTGCTATGGGCCTGGTAGTGATCTAGGTGCTGGAGATAGGGTCATGAATAAAATAAAAATCTTTTTCTTATAGATAATAAGCAAATAAAAGTATGATCTAATGCCAGGTAGAGCTAAGTATCATGAAGAAAGATAAAGTGGGTGAAGTGCTAGAGAGTGATGGGGTCATGGCATGTCATGGAAAGGATGTTTTGAGAATATGACATTTGAGTAGAGACCTGAATGAAGTAAGGGAGAAAATCATGTGGAAATCTCGGGGAAGAAGATTCCAGGTAAAGGGAAGAGCAGGGGCAAAGGCCTTGGGTTGGGAGTGTGCTTGACAAGTTTAAAGATGAACAAAAAGTGAACGAGAGGGAGAGTGGTAGGGAATATGGTCAAGGGTGGGAGCAAAACCTGCGGAGTGCTGCTATCCATCATAAGGGGTTATCTATAGACCAGTAAAGCTGCCCTGTTTGGAGCTTCCCACTCATGCTTGAGCCTCAGGATGGATGATGCTTTGTAGTCCTTGGGCTCTGTCTGCATTTGGGCTGGGGACTGTGATTTGCCGTTTCGGAGCTTTGGGTGATTGGTGAAGGTTGGCAGGTCCCAGGTTGCAGGCAATAAGGAGGTGCATTGTCCATAAAGAATTTTAAAACCATTGTCAGTGTGACCAAAGTTGATCTACTTTTAATTATCATAACGCTTAAGCAATTTCAGTGATAAAATAGTCATCCCCACAGGGCCAGAAAACGTTCATCTCCCTGCATCTTTTTTTTTTTTGTGAGGAAGATCTGCCCTGAGCTAACATCCATGCTAATCCTCCTCTTTTTGCTGAGGAAGACCGGCTCTGAGCTAACATCTATTGCCAATCCTCCTCCTTTTTTTTTTCCCCAAAGCCCCAGTAGATAGTTGTATGACATAGTTGCACATCCTTCTAGTTGCTGTATGTGGGACGTGGCCTCAGCATGGCTGGAGAAGCGGTGCGTCGGTGCGCACCCAGGATCCGAACCCGGGCCGCTAGTAGCGGAGCACACGCACTTAACTGCTAAGCCACGGGGCCGGCCCTCCCCGCATCCTTTGGTACACAACTGCTTTCTCCTGAAGTTTGCCAGGCATAATCAAACACTGACTAAAACAATAGCCTCCAGATATCTAGTAACAATATATAGTTGTTAAAAAAAGAAGACGACTATACACACAGGCATACGTAAATACATATTCTTTAGCATATTTAGCAAGGATAAATCAATGAGTATATGAATTTAAAATGGAGTGGTCTATGAATTTAAAATGGAGTGGTATGGACCAGCCCCATGGCCTAGTGGTTAAGTTCAGCACGCTCTGCCTTGGCGGCCCAGGTTTGGTTCCTGGGTGCCGAACTACACCACTTGTCAGTGGCCATGCCTTGGCGGCGACTCACAAAATAGAAGAAGTTTGGCCACAGATGTTAGCTTAGGGCAAATCTTCCTCAGCAAACAAACAAACAAAAATAATAAAACAAAGTGGTATATTTGCAGTCAAAAGATCCTACATGGAAAATGTTAAATTATTAAGGTAGAGAAACTAATATTACTCCCTACGTATGATGTGCCAGGAAGATTTTTTCCATACATTTTATTCATTTGTTTTAAGACCATTTTATGGGACTTACTTTGTGCAACTGAAGATATAATGAAGAGCAAAAGAGATGTGCTTGCAAGAAACCACAAAGTGTGGCATGACTATTCCAATTTTACAAACAAGAAAACTGAAGCATGCAGGAGTTCAGATTATGCTCAGAGTCACACAGCTGGTAACACAGAGCTGAAACTCAAATGCAATTTTTTCTACACCTTGTTTCTTGTTTGAAAAAACAAAAACAAGCTCAGATACTTGCATAATTTTTAATTTTCTGGAGATAATTGGCATATGTAAAGTATTTCTATCCACATAGACTGACTTGGATGAGGGTATAGCATCTAAGAAGATATAATTAATATCTGGCCCAGGAGCAAAGTTTGTATGCAGTAAAAAACAATAAGATAATCCAATGCAATGTAGAATCTGGTAACACAGAATTAATTAATACTGGGACAATTGGTGGAGAATATATGATCTTTTCTTTAAGTACAAGTTTTCATTCCACCCATGGTAGTTTATATTAATAATTCCATGAGTTGCAATCATGCACCTGGCTGCTTCTCCACACCTCTACAGGAACAGGATCTAACACAATGTCATATACCACTGCTTCTCAAATTTTAAGATGCACGTGAATCTCTTGGGGATCTTGTTAAACTGCAGATTCTGTTTCACAGATCTGGGGTAGGGCCTGAGATTCTGCATTTCTAACAAACTCCCAGGTGATGCACATGCTACTGGTCTGTAGGCCACACTTTTAGTTTAAGGCTGTTTCTGGCACCAACCAGAAGCTATATCTTGGGCCCCATCCCTGCTATTGGTTACTTTTGAAAGAGAGTTTCAAAAGCTGGGAAGACCCTCCAGTAGAGCAGCTTACAGGATTTGAAGAAGGTGTAGAATGATGGTAGAAGGGATAAAAGGGAAGAAATAAAAGTGTTACAATGGATTCTGTACTTCATTCCTAAAGAAACCACAAACCCATCATTTACTCCTTGTTAAGTGGGTCAGCATGATGCAGCACAGCTGGTCTGAAGATGCACTCCCTCACACAGCAAAGATGTTGATCACCTTGAGGAATGAGTATTTGGCTCTTTGGTGTAACCTCACTTTTATTTTGCTGAAACAAAACAAAAAGAATCCAGTAGTGCTCTTCCTCATATTATTCATTCTGGCCAATGGTTGTGTTAATTTTCTTAAGTGCTTTGGGCACTATATTAAAATTATCCCTTTTATCAAATGGTTTAACGTGAATCTTTTGAAAACGTACAAGAGAATTTCTTCATTAGAGCATTGCTTCTGAAATTTTAATGAGCACCCAGATCACCTTAGAATTTATTAAAAATATAAATTTTGATTCAGTGGGTCTGAATCAAAGCTCCTAGGTGAGTCTGATACAGAAGATCCTTGGGCTGTTCTGAGTAGAGAGGTCTTAGAATGTTTGATCTTGTCTTGCATTAAGATGACGCTCAGGGGGGGCCGGCCCGGTGGCTTAGCGGTTAAGTGCACGCGCTCCGCTGCTGGCGGCCCGGGTTCGGATCCCGGGCGTGCACCGACGCACCGCTTCTCCGGCCATGCTGAGGCCGCGTCCCACATACAGCAACTAGAAGGATGTGCAGCTATGACATACAACTATCTGCTGGGGCTTCGGGGGAAAAAATAAATAAAAAAATAAATAAATAAAAAAAAGATGACGCTCAGGGGGGGTGTGTGTGTGTGTGTGTGTGTGATGTTCAAAGTGGTGAGGAAGTTATACATTGACAAATAGCTTGAAATGATAGAAAGGAGGCATCCACCTCATCACATAGGCCAGTCATCAAAAGATTCCACAATCACATTATTTCCTTACCGTGAAAGACTATTCAAACATCAGTTGTATAAAAAAGGATTTTTGTTAGTAAGAGGATGATCCGTTCCAGTCTTTCTAAAATTAGGCTCTATTTTAGATCACTCAGCAGGTTCTAAGAGCACAGATGTTCGGGGTCCACCCCAGAGCCACTAAACCTGTGGGACGGATCTAATGAGTCATCTCTAGACCAGCAGCATCAGCAGCACCTGCAGGCTTATTAGACATATAGACTCTCAGGCCCCATCCAGATCTACTGAATTCAAATCTACAGTTTAAAAAGATCCCAAGCATTCCAATGCATGTTCAATTGCGAGAGACACTCATAAGTGGGAGGCAAACCTGGATAGTTGCCACAGCAACGTAATTGTAAGGTATTACATGCCTCTTATCCTGTCTAGTGATTTGGGCCTCTGTCTGATATTAGAACCAAAAGAAGACAGATAGACATATGGGCCCATCCAACGGCTGGTACATTGACTGAACCTGAGGCATCTGGGATGGTGTAAAAGAACAGGGAGAAGACACAGAAAATGTATCCAGTTCCATGTAACTACTGCTTTACATCAGCAGTTCCGTCTATTTCTAGCTCTTTTTTATCATGGCTTTTCAGCTTTTTCCCAGAAAATCTCATTGCTTGCTACCAGCTTTAAATCTATTGAGTAAAATTTTATCTGAAGGAAACTGAATCGAATATTCATGTCTAGAATTGCTTGACCATAGAGACAGCTGTGCTCATATTCTTGTTACTTTGCAGTGATGCATCCTTATCACTGGGTGAAAACTCAAACTGCGGAAAAAATGATCAAGCATTTACTGAGGAATTGCTTTGTGTCTAGCATCATGCTAAAGATGACAGGGACAAATGTAAAGGGTTAGTTGCTTGAAACTTGAAGATGCGTATATTTAACTCACAAATACTGCATTGCTAAGTTCTGAAGTAGTGAAAAAACTTAAAGTAAGGGCTTAACAGTGGGGCATAGATAGTCTGAGGAAAAAAAAAAACCTGAGAAAGGAGGTGTTAGTTTGAGGTGAAGCATCCTAGAGCCAATGGAACTTGAGTTTAGTAGATGTAAGATGCAGGACATTCCATTTAGAGGCAACAGCTCGAACAAAGGCAAAAAAATTAAACAGCACAAAGATGAAAGGGAACAAATAATATGAGAGCTTGCTCTTAAACATGCAATGTTATTTTATAGCTTACATTTTTAATTTTGGGCATAGAATTTTACATATGTTCGGGAAATTGTAGCAGTTTTTCTAATTCTTATTAAGGAAGGTAGTTAGTTCTGGAAATAAACATATTTTAAATTTTCATTATTTTTTCCTCAAGGGTATGGATTGTGGTGTCTCCTGGTAATTTTTGCTAACTTCAAAATGTAAAGCATAAAGGTTTTATGAAATATTTATTCTGAAAAAAGTTTTCCTGCTAATAATAATCTAAAAACTGCAAAGTATTAATTTGAGCAGCTTCTTTGCATAAATTAAAAATGCTCAGAATTGCTTGGATGCTATGTACTGATGTTTCGTGAGTTTCATTCTATTATACTTATAAAATCTTCACCATGTGGTATAGAGCCAATTTTACATTCTGGCAGTTATGCCTAATTCTTTTCATAAATGCTATTTGGAATTTCTATTGTCATTAACTCTTCAATGTGAGAAACGGGATTTATAACTTCAATATAAATAAATATTCTCTATTTTTAGGTAATAATATTCATGTGTTAATAAGTGCATGTGTTCAAAATAATGCAGATGATATGCCCAATAAATTCACATTTGTTTACTTTTTATTATCAACTCTGCATGTTCATTTATTTTCTTATCTGCTTTAGAATGCTAATTGATAACAAATTATATCATTATAGAATAAGTGTAAGCCGTCAAATTATACATTTGTATGTGAACATTTTTATTTAGAGTATAGAGAAATGCAGTGTATTCTCAACAATAAGATAATGCTGAAACGTATTTCAGAAGATACAGTATTTCTAAAACTCACAAGAACTTGTAAAACACTAGCTTACATGAAGTAATTTCCATGCTACATAAGCTTTGATATTGTAAACTTTATGGCTATTAACTGACGCTGGAAAGTTGCAGGAGGAAAATGATTGTGTGCTGTATCTTGGCTTCCACAAATGGAGAACATTACAGAATATACAATTCTTACTGGACTGCAGACTCCTTTACAACAGAGCCATATATTATTCACTTTCATTTCTCTACCACCCGTATAGTGAGGTGTTCACAGTTCTTCTTTTGCTCCTCAGCTTTGCTATGGTTGAAGGTGAGTGGAGTAAACAATAGTAGACCCAACCATAGTACAGGTCCTGCAAACATCAGTCTATATCCACAAAGCACCTTCCATGCTGTCACGTCTTAGTTCTGGAACTTCTGTGTATAGGTGTCCCCTGAGCTGAGCTGTAGCATATGATGGTGGTGGTGAAATATCTAGACATTGGTATCTAGAGGTTTTCCAAGTAGTGGACAGTAGCCAAGAAATAGAGGAGAAGTTGGCTAGGCCAGCAGCCTTCCCCATCTCTGGAGTCTCCAGGTGGTGGTTCAAAGTAGTTCAGAGATACAGAGGTGCAGCATTATGACGTGGCTTCCCAGGCCAGCAGGGTCAAGCGCTACCAAAAGATTCCACCACGCTGACTTGGTGCCTGAGTGGGTAGAGAGCCAGGGTCCTGTCCAATGCCCAGGCTGGGCAGAGAAAATTAGGGATGTGATTAAGCTCACATCCAGCAGTACAAAAGGAACAGGGAAACACCAAGACACCAGGACAATTGGTAGTTCAAGAAATGAAAAAAAGGATAGGAAACAAACTTGAAGCCCTGGGAAAAGATCAGTCCTGAGACTGGGGGTGGGGGTAGGAGAAGGAGCTGTTCCAAAGGAGATCACCGAGAGAGATCTTTATCCCTGAATAGGTGCTCTCAGATCTGCCTGCAATTTTTAGGTAGTTTTGGTGTGGACAGATTACAGCCTTTGGGTGTGGTCTGTGTCACAAAGAGGGAGGGCTCC